CCCCCACCTCATTCCTTCATAGGCTTGTAGACATCCATTTCGAAAAAAAAGAAAAAAAATATATTATGATTTTGGAAAATAATTCTAGATTTTAAACTATCATAATTTCTACTCTATATCTGTGTTGAGTTTGCCTGGCGGGTACAGGGCGGCTGCTGGAAAAAGGTTAGGTACGTATCCTGCAAAATCATTTGAAAGCTGACCGAAGAGGGAGAGAGAGAGGGGGGGGGGGGGGGGGGGGCGAGAGAGAGAGAGAGAGAGAGAGAGAGAGAGAGAGAGAGAGAGAGAGAGAGAGAGAGAGAGAGAGAGAGAGAGAGAGAGAGAGAGAGAGAGAGAGAGAGAGAGAGAGAGAGAGAGGAGAAGAGGAGAGAGAGAGAGAGAGAGAGAGAGAGAGAGAGAGAGAGAGAGAGAGAGAGAGAGAGGAGAGAGAGAGAGAGAGAGAGAGAGAGGAGAGAGAGAGAGAGAGAGAGAGAGAGAGAGAGAGAGATAGAGAGAGAGAGAGAGAGAGAGAGAGAGAGAGAGAGAGAGAGAGAGAAAGGAGGGGTGTGGGGGGGAGAGCGAGGGGGGGAGAGATGGAGAGAGAGAGAGAGAGAGAGAGAGAGAGAGAGAGAGAGAGAAAGAGAGAGAGAAACAAACCGAGACAAAGGCAGAGAAAGACACAGAGAAACACAGATAAAGACAGAGAGGGAAGGGAGAAAAAAAAAAACAAAAAAAAACATAAAACTAATTTCATCTCTTGACAACTTGCAATTCATAGTCAGCCTTAAAACGTTAAATAAAAAAAAGAATTAAAAAAAATAGAAGAATTTCAGTAAGCCCGTTTCCCTTAATCGTTTCGACATTGTTTTCAAAATGTCTAACTAACGTATTCTTGCATCAGTATAATCGAAGGCCATGTTATAGAAGTTACAGTAAACAAAAAACAGCAAAAAAACAACAAAACACAAAACAAAAAAAAAACTGTTTTAGAGGAATTTCAAAACAATTCTTTCATCACTGTTTAATATGAATTTTCTTTCCTTATTTGCTTGTTATTTTCTCGTCATATTATTTGCTTGTTACTTGTCATCTTTAGCTTATTATTTTATTATCTCGGTTATTTTATCTCTAAATCAACTCATGTTATCTTAAATCGTCTTTTTTTTTCCTTCGTTCAGCCTCTTATTCCCTTTAATCTGTATCTTGAGTTTTTTTTTATTCTTGTTTATTCATCTATATATATATTTTTTTTTTGTTCATATTTACGCATCTATAATTGTTTTTGTTCATATTTATGCATCTATATTTTTTTTTTGTTCGTAAATATTCATCTATATTTTGTTCATATTTACGCATCTATATATCTTTTTGTTCATATTTATCCATCTATATTTTTTCATATTTACTCATATATATATATATATATATATATATATATATATATATATATATATATATATATATATATATATATATATATATATATATATATATATATATATATATAATTTTATTTTTTCTCTTATCTCTCGTTTTTCTTTATTTCTCATCCTTTTCTTTTTTAATACCTTCTCAAATTTCTTTAAATTCGTATATCTTTATTTAATCTATATTTGTTTATCTTTATTTTGTATCTTTTTTTAACCTTAGTATACTTATTTTCTTTTATGTATCTTTTTCTTCATCAACTTTAATCTTTATCTTTGTTTTCTCTCCATTTATTTTTTTCTTATCTTTATTCACTTTTATCTATCTTCTCCTTTTCTTTATCTTTACTTATTTATATTTCTCTCTTTGCTTTTTTCTTTACTTATTTATTTATTGTCATTTACCTTCATCTATCTACATCTTTTACTTATTCTCTTTTCATCCTGTTTATCGTCTTATTATCTTTATTCCCATCGTTATTTTTCTTGAGTTTATCTCTAACTTTTCTTATTTCTTTTTATCATTTATCTCTCTTTATCTTTATCTCTCTTCATCTTCATTTATCTACATTTATCTTTACCTATCTTCACTATCTGTATTTACGTCTATCTTCATTATCTATATTTACCTTTATCTATATTTACCTTTATCTATCTTTATCTTTATCTATCTTTATCTTTATCTATCTTCCTTATCTATATTTATCTTTATCCATCTTCGTTCATCTGCATTTACTTTTATCTATATTTACCCCTATCTATCTTCATTATCTATATTTATCTTTATCCATTATCGTTCATTTACTTTTATCTATATTTACTCTTATCTATCTTCATTATCTATATTTATTTTTATCCATTATCGTTCATTTACTTTTATCTATATTTACTCTTATCTATCTTCATTATCTATATTCACCTTTATCAATCTTCGTTCACCTCTATTTACTTTTATCTATATTTACCTTTATCTATCTCCATTATCTATGCTTACCTTTATCCATCTCCATCAATCTATATTTTCCTCTAGATATCTTCATTACCTATATTTATCTTTATCTATCTTCATTATCTATATTTACCTTTATCTATAT